GGATGGAAGGATGGTGGAATGGATGGTTAGATGAATGGATGGGTAAGTGGAAGGGTAGATGAATACACGGATGGCTGGGTGGATGGATGGATCTGTGGTTAGATGGGGTGGTGGGAGGGAGGGTTTAGCAGATGGATGAATGAATGAATGGAGAATGAATGGGTAGCTGGATGAAAAATGGATGGACTGATTAACAGATAGAGGGATAGATGAATGGGTAAGTAGATGGATGATAGATGGATGGAAGGATAGACAGATGGAAGGATGGGAAGGGAGGCTTGGAAGTTGGTGCCTCATAGGAGTTAAGATCATAGATTCTTAAGAGATCAGAGAAAGAAGCACAATAACTACATTTTATGATTAAAGAGGGAGAGAAGCTGCAGCAGATCTGAGCTTATGGAAAGGCAGACACTGAGGTGGGCTTGCCACCCTGCTCACCTCCAGCACCGCCGCACCCCCACCCCTAATCCTCCTGTTTAGTTCAGGAATCATAATGCCCGGTGAAGATCTGCTACATGAGTGAGGGATTTTAAATATTTATTTCAGTGTCTTTTCTTATCTCCCATGACCCATTTGAGCCTTAGAACAAGGGCAGTGGTAGGGCACAGAATCTGAATTCACAGATGTGGAAACTGAGGCTCAGAGAGGTTAGGTCACTAAGGTCACGCGATGGTGGTGCTGGTGTCAGGGTGCAGTCTCCCAGGGTTCAGGCAGGCCTGCCCCGCCTCCCCACCCCCGTGCTGACCCCTCCCCCTGCCCACCTCATCCTCTCCATCCTTTCCCGCTGCTAGTTTTCCTACGTCCCTCCCATCCTGACACTGACCTAGGGCCCTGAACCACAGCCCCTTTTCTCTGTCCCTGAGCCCAGCCCCGCATCATACACCAAAGACCAGCTGCATCTTGTTTGATAAGAAGTACTCTGGTTTTGAGTCACTGTCACCAAAAAAACCCTGAAAACCCAAACCAGCCACATCCGGTAGCTTCCCTTCCCAGCTGGGCTTTGGATCTGAGGGTGGAGCTGTATTGACCCCACGGGGGTGAGGGTGAGTGCAGGAGGTAAAAATGCCCCTCTCCCCAAACCCCACCAACCGGGGACCAGGGTGACTTGGCTAAGCTCACAGGGCAATGGGGAAGGTAGATAATAATCACCTGCTCTGTTTGAGCACCCACAAAGTGCCATGTCCATGCTGCACTATCTCCTTCAGGCCTCAGAATAACCCAGTGAAGGGTAGTTATTCTTCCCATTTCAGAGATGAGGAAACTGAGGCTTGGAGACCAAGCAAGGTGAACAGGGGAGCTGGGACTCCAACCCAGGCTTGTCTGACTTCAAAGCTCAGCTCTGCTCTTTGTACTGCAAGGAGTCCCAGATGCTGGGCACACAGGCTGACCATATGCCTTGGAGATTTTTGAGCTGGGGAGGTAAGAGGCAAAGGGGCCATGTGGGTCTGTTCTTGTGCCACAGGTGCTGGAGCTGGTACAGCCACTATGTCCAAGGGACAATTATTCCTGCTCTATATGGGGGTCATAAGGCCCAGAGAAGCCCAGAGTCAGGAAGGCCATGGAGTGGGTGATAAAAATTCCATGGATGAAACCGATCACCTGAGTTGAATCTAGGTTCTGCCACTTACCGCCAAGTGGTTTTGACCAGGGGACTTAACCTCTTGGGGGGCTCAGTTTCCCCATATGTCAAAAGGGAATAAGAATCCCCTTTCTCATACAGTAATCATTTAGTCCCCAGTCAGTGCCTGGCACCTGGGGATGCTCATCAGATGCTTATTGTCACTCTTAGGGCTGCTCAATGCCAGGAGAGGGTACCCCTAGTGGACACGTGGCCCTGCGGTCTCCTCTCGCCTTCAGTGGTGGGCAGGGCTCCTTCTGTAGAGAAACAGCATTTCTCTGGGGCCCAGAACTATGACTTACGGTCAGCGGGACTTTTTGCTAAACAAATCACCTTTCTGAGCCTCAGCTTCCTTATCTATAAAATGGGAGGAGACAATACCTCCTCCTGGAGTAAGAAACGAGGACTGAGATGGTGCGTCACTGCTAGCGCAGCGGCAGGCCCAAAGCAGGCGCCCAGGACGCGGCAGCCACCCTCGTGCTATTGTTATCTCCCCACAGCCATGGCAGCACACCTCGTCCACCCGACACTCACGGTCCTGCGGCGACCATGAGGCTGCGCACTCGATCGAAGCCCCGCTCTCCCAGGTTCAAGCACTCCCCGGAGAATTCCACCCGACGTCCCTGGAAGTTCTCCTGCTCGAACACCACCAGCTGCAGGAGAGATGGCCCCGCGCCGAGGGGGCAGAGTGAGGCGGAGGAGTCCCTCCAAACTGGAGAGCCTCCAGGTCAAACCTTCATTAACATTAAATACCTATAGAAATAAAAAGCAGGCCTGCACAGATCACATGAGAGCATGCCATGAGCCAAGGTCTGGCAAAAATCCTATCCTGCCTTCCCTCCATGTCTGAACTTAATATCTACACCATCATTAGGAACTGACAGATCTTCCTTCCAGGCCTTTTTGCCTGAAATGCCCTCTCCATCTTGGAACTCATGATCCCTATCATGTTCTAGGTGCAGACAACACCTCCTCCAGGAAGCCTTCCTTGATTGCCCTCTCCTCATAGGGGCTAGGTTGAGTGCCCCGTACTGTGCTCACCCCATTAGCAGCTTTGCTTCTCTGTCTCTCTCTACACACCTATCATCCCCTTCCCTCAAACCCTCCAAAGACAAAGGGCTCCTCCAAGTTAGGGCGTGAAGTTGAAACATTTCTGTATCTCCAGCCCCAGCACCTGCCAAGGAGCTGATACTCAGGAAACACCTGCCAGTCCACCAGCCACAGTAGGGGAGCATATCACTAACCTCCATTTGTTGTCCCAAGTTGGGAAAACCTTTCTATTCACCTGAACCAAAGTAAGTGTATTCTTTCCCTAAGCCTCAGTTTCCCCAGCTGTAAAAGGAGGAGGTTCACATACCCTTTACCTAGAACACCTATTCCTACAGTTGTCCATCCAAGAGAAGCTGGCACATGGGCCTCAGAAGACATGGGTAAGAACATCCCAGCCACGCTGTTCACCCACACAAAGCTAGCGACCACCTCAGGAATGACGGTCACACTCTGACTTAGGAATGCCCCACAGCCACGTGCAATGGTGCGGGAGACTAGGGGGAATCTCAGAGTAAGTGAAAAGAGAAGAGAAAAACGCAGGAGGATACATACCGCATATTTCAGTAAGTTAAAAACACACAGCATACAAATATATGCTTTAAAAGAACAATGCATACAAAGACATAAAAAAGCAAGCAAGCCAATGACTGACAAGGATGAGGATGGCAGTTGCCTTGAACAGGGGAGGCGGGCAGTGGGCTCACCGGGACAGTTTAGAATTAGAGGATTTCCTTCAAGTCCTGGCTTTTAATATGGGTGTGGTTTGCAGGTGCTTGTTGCATTATTCAAAATTAAATACAAATGAATGATTAAACAAGTAGCTACACAGTACGAGCCGGCCATTCATGGACCACTTGAGAGCATGTCCTGAACCAAGGGTTATGAAATGATCCAGCTCTGTGCACCAGAGGTTGAAACCAAGCCAAAATCAACCCCAGGGGATTGGATGTCCTGCTCCATAGGCGGCCCTTTGGTCTGACTGCTTCTAACAGTTTTCAGGAGGGGCTGAGGCCATCCTGCTACCCTACAGAACAGGTGGTTCCTGATTCTAAGCCAGCCCAGTTTTTTTCTTTCTCGTTCTGTCTCTTGCTGTTGGCAAGCTCAGCGCGTGCTCCCGCTGGTCTGCTGGGCAGGAGGGGGAGGAGGACAAAGGGTTGGTTGGGGAGGAAGCTCAGGGGTGGAGCTAGACACCCCTCCCCACCCGCAGGCTGTTAGTTACCTTGTAGCTCCCAGGAGGCAGGTCTCCCACTTTGGTGGTGGGCACAGGCGCAGACGCTGGGGCCAGGGCGGGTCCTGGGGCAGGTGCTGCAGGAGGAGCCCCCTTCCCCTTTCCTTCAGGCCCTGGGTTCACGGCAGCTTCAGCTGAGGCCTTGGCAGCCTGCGACATGGTTCCCACCTGCAAAGGCCTGTCAAGAAAGCTTTGGCCAGGGTTCATTCAGGGTTGGCACCCCCAAGCTGCCTCCCCAGTGTCATACGCCGCCCCGCCCTGTGTTTTCAGACTCCTTTGAACTAATTTCTCCCCTTTCTCATTCTAAAACATAAATCTGGAAGTGTTCTGTCCCAACCTCTCTCCCCAGTCAAGACCTTCCTGTCTGGGGAGGCACCTCCCTCCATGCCTTTGGCCATGCTGGTCCCTCCTGCAGCCAGCCTTCCCTACTACCTGCACCCCGATCCCCAGCTGCAGCCTTCTTTTTGCCCCTAGTGCTTTTTACACCTCTTACCATGCTCCTTTGTGTTTGCACTTTTCAATTAGCCTCACCAGGTCAATAAAAAGTCACATTCGGGAGTCACACTTAAGGTATGCCAGGCTCTGTGGCACACATCAATGAAGTTACCTGTCCCTCATCAGAACCGCACACTACCGAATCTCCTCTGAACAATCTGTGGCTCAGAGAGGAGAGGTGGCCTGCCCAGATCCGCAGAGCCGTGAAGGGGTAGCTCTCCAATTTCAGGTCAAGCAGCCAGACCCAGCAACTGGGTTATTAAATGCTCTGCTGTTTGCTTACTCTGATTTATTCACTTCTTCATGCCCAGCACTTGGCCCAGCACCTGGCCCATAGGAGATTCTCCATTAACATCTGTTCACACAATGAATGAGTGTGGGTTCCTGTCTCCCTTCCCAGTGGAACGGCTGTCTCTGTTATTGTCTGGGAATGGGTGTGTGGGTGCAGACCTGCTCCTGGGGCATAAAGGGGCACCTGGGAGGGTGGGTTTAGTGCATGAGGACCGTGGCTGTGTAGACATTGGGTGGAGAGGGTTTTGGTCTGTTCCCGGGGTTCCTCATTGCTTCTGGGCTGTGAATGCGTTTTGAGTGTTTCAAGAATGCCTTGTCCTTGTCCTCAGGGAAAAAAATGGCCACTGCATTTTGGAGGCAATTTCCAGGGATTCAGGGATTCCCAGACATTACAGATTAAGACTCTGATCCAGCCGATTCCTGCCCACTATCTGTACCGAGCTGGCTGGGGCAGGCAGATTCCATCCCCCACCTCTCTGAGGAAGGCGGTCATCACTGGTGTGCTCTGCCCACTGTGGGCAGACCGGACATCTGGACCCCATCTGTGACTCCCAGGCCCTTGCTTAAGCCCCCACATCAGTCCGTGAATCAACATCACCCCGGGCTGATGGTTGGGCTCATTCCTTCCTGGAAATTTTGGTATTTTCATTCTCCAGCTCTTTCTCTCTACCTTGCACCCTCCCTCTCTGCCAGTCTCTGTTTATTTCTGTTTCCTTCTATCTCTTTTCCTCCCTACCTGTCTTCCTGTCTGCCTTTTTCTGCTTATTTTTATTGTCTCTCTCTCTCTCTTCTGTTACTGTTTTCTCTGCCTCCCCTCCCCTATTCCCTTTTCCCCCCTTTGGAAGAAATCCCCCCTTCTCTTAGAAGCATGGTGGGTCCCCACTTACCTGGGGACCTGCTACTTTCTGCTAGAAGACAGGCAAGCTGGTGCGGTGGGTGACTGGGGCCGACCCCCCATTTTATAGTCTGGCAGCCACCAGGCTGTATGGTTGGTGGCACAAAGGGGGAGCTGGCTCAGCAGGTCCTGAGCAGGGAGTGGGCCCCTGAGGCCCCGACCCGGCCTGGGTTACTGTGGAGAACAGCACTTTCTGTTGTGAGCCCAGCACGCACAGCAGAAACCTGGGCCAGCAAGTATTTCACCTTGACTTCTGCCTGGGCCCTACCCTGAAACCCCAGCTGGGGTGGGCCTTACGGGGTCCCTGCTGGCTGCCAATCCAGGGAAAAAGGGAAACAGAAGTTAAAATAAAGCAATAAAGATGCAGAGTGATGGGACAGATGCCAGGGAAAAGGGGAGCTCCAGAAGGCTGGAGAGCTGAGTTTGAATCCTGGCTGTGTTACAAGGCGCTCTGTGACTTTGGGCTGGATTTTACCCCTTGGGACCTCTGTGGCTGCAGTTGTAAGTGGTGCTAGTGTCCCCACTGGATGCTGCAAGGAAAGAAGGTGACAATGAGCATAGGGGATGGAAAAATGCTTTGTAAAGGCAGATGTGGGTTCCATGTCAACAGCCCACTCACTGAGTGCTTACTGGTGCTAAGTCAGCACCAAACGGGTTGCCCACACCATCATGGTCAAGCCCCAGGACAACCCCCCTCATTTGGTTCTTTCAATACCCGTTTCACAAATGACCTAAGCTAGGGCACAGAGAGGCCGGAGCCAAGAACTGGCCCACATAGGCTGGCTCAGGGCCTGTACGCTTCATTCTCACGCTGCCTGAACCTGACCTTGGCCTGAATTTCTGCTTCTAGTTAGGGGTAAAGATGGAGGTTGGACAGGGCTGTGCTCAGGGGCATTGAACAGTCAAGGCCTGGGTCTTGTTCCTCTGCCCACCTTGGGCCCAGATTCCCCCCCTCCTCTTTCCTGATCTGTTTGTAGATCCTCCCTTCCATTTTCTGACCCCAGGGACAGAGTTGGTGGCCAGGAACAAGACTGCCCATCTGGGGCTCCTTGCAGAAGCCCTGAAACTCCACCACATTCTGATGAGTCCCAGCACTGAGTGTGGGGCCTGGACAGGGTGGACCCTCAGTCAATTTGGGAGGACTAAGTGGTCATGCTGATGGTTCATAATGGAAGCTGAGGTGCAGGGAGGGACAGGGAAACCAGGATGGACAGAGGGAAACAGGGACACTGATCAGGAGAAGTGGCGAGCAACAGAAAAGGAGAAACAACAGAGACAGAAATAGAGAGGGCAACCGGCAGTGAGGGAGAAAGGGACAGAGAGAGAGAAACAAAGGGAAACAAATGAAAAGAAAGTAATAAAGATGCAGAGCGACAGGACAGATGCTAGAAGTCATGTTGTCCAACATCCTCATTTCACAAAGGGAGAAACCAAGGCCCAGGGGGAACATGTGACATGAGTGTTGTACAGTGTGAAGTCACAGCAGAGCCGGCTCTGGGGGACCCCAGGGAACCCCTGAGTCAGGTCAGTCAGCAGTCCCACTTCCTAGCTCCAGGTGATAGGGTGGGGGTTCTGCACGGTTCCTGCCTCCACTTCGGGGTCCAAGGACCCCAACTCCCCAGGAAGCCTGGCTCTGCCTTCAGATCACATGGCCTGGGGCCAGGTCTGCCTTCTGCCCTTCTGCCCCCACCCAGCACCCCCTCACTTCCCAGCCTCCCCTTTCACCTTTCATCCTGAGCCAAGGCCCGGGAGGGGGCAGGAACCGCACAGGAACCTCAGGGACCAGGGCCAAGATGCCTGCGGCGGGGGCCACCCACAGGTCTGGGCTTCGAGGCCAGGCTGTCTGGGGCAGGTCCCTGTCCCCTGCGGCAGTGGGCTGCCTGCCAAAGCGTGGGGGCAGAGGTGGAGGATGGCCCCCATGCTGGGGGGGCTCCACTCTGAACCTTCTACTGATTTGGCTCCTGTGGGGGAGGGGGCACGCCTCTTAGATTAAACCTATATGCAGATGAGAAAACTGGGGCCACTCCCTTTCCCCTCTCTCAGCCCATGTCCTCATCTATAAAGTGGGATTGGGAGACACATCTTTTTAAACTCTTCAACTCAGGCTCTTCAAAGTGATGCCGTCCTGCTCTTATATGAGCAATTATTTAATAGTAATCATTGTTTCCAGCTTTATTGCCATATAATTGACACTTAACCTTGTGTACGGGTGAGGTGCACGACGTGTTGACTCCACACATTTATAAATTGCCAACTGAGAAGCACCTCCATTCCATCACACAGTTACCACTTCTTTGTGTGTGGTGAGAACATTTAAGGCCTACTCTCAGCAACATTCAAGTATCTGATACAGTACTGTTAGCTATAATCACCATGCTGTATATCAGATCCCCAAACCCGCTAATCTTATGACTGCAAGTTTGATTCCTTTGAGCAACATCTCCCTCTTTCCCCCACCTCCCACCCCCCGGCAACCACCACTTTCCTTTCTGTCTCTGTGCGTTTGTTTTTTGTAAATCCCATATATAACTGATAGACAGTATTTATCTTTGTTTGACTGACTGTATTTAGCGTAATGCCCTGAAGGTCCATTTGTGTTGTCACAAATGGCGGGATTTCCTGCTTTTTCATGGCTGAATCACATTCCATGGTATGTATACCACATCTTCTTTATCCATTCATCCACTGATGGATGCTTCGATTATTTCTGCATCTTGGCTATTGTGAATAATGCTGCAATAAACATGGGGGTGCAGATATCTCAATAACAATCATTTGTATTATTAGCAATGAGGATGGCAGTGGTGATGGGGACACATAATGCTTTTCATGTTCTGGAGCCATTCCAGAGAGGCATGTACTGCTCATGGGTGATTCACAGTTACACTCAAAATACCCTATCTCTTAGATGAAGCCCAGTTTACCTTGTTATACCCATTTTACCCAGGAGGAAATTGAGGCTCAGAGAGATGCAGTAACACCCTCCAGGTTACCCAGCCAGCGAAGAGGGGGTTGCCAACCTGGGCTGCCTGGCTGCAGAGGCTGCATCCTTAGCCTTTAATTTTCATAACAGCTCTTCACCAAAGTTACACATTTGACTGAGATTCATTTAACCCTCCCAGGGGGAATGTTGCCATTTTACAGGCTGTGAGCCGGGATCAGACGTCTCCAGGGCACCCAGGTGTCAACAGGCAGGGCTGGATTTCACCCAGAGAGACTTGGTGTCCAGCCATCCTCTTCCTACAGTGTGAGGGCTCCTCTTAGGTCAGGTTGGAAAGTGGAAATGTGGGGACAGGGCTCCCAAAGTGAACTGTACAAACTGTGGATATTTGGCAGGTACGCTACAATTTGTAAAGCACGTTCACACCTGCCAGCTCCTTAGTTCTGCCCTCAGAGCCACTGGGACTCCTATCTGGGCTTTGTGGGCCCTGGCCTGGCCTGGCCTGGCTCCCTCCTTCAGGGCCCCTGAACTCCAGCCTAACTGGTCCACCAGTTGCCTGTCATGTATGTGCCCCAAGTTCCTGCCTCTACACTTTGGCTTTAAAAAAGCATTCCTTCCATCTCACTGTATACAAATCCTCCTTGCCCTTTGGAGTCCAGTTTATATGCCACCTCCAACATTAAGCCTACCCTGACTGCCCCCACTGAAAGAGGGGGCATGGCGGGGGAAATGTGTAGGTATTTGTTGAATGTTTACTCTTTGACCTCACAAGAACCTTGTGATGTAGTTTATTCTTGTCCCATTTTTATAGGCAGAAACTGAGGAGAAATGACCTGGGCGGGGATGAAGTTTTTGGACCCCTTGTCCAGTGCCCATTTGTCTGCTCCAGTCAGGAGTCCCAGGGAGCTGATGAAGGTAGACCCTCCCCTCCGCCTTCTTCCTGGCTGATCCCTGAGGGAGGCAGCCTGCCCCCTTCCCTCTCAGCTGAAGCCGATGCTGCTGACACCTCTGGGTTGGGGCTTCAGCCAGGGCTGGCTTTTGTTTCAGCGGCTCATTTGCTGAGTCCAGACTTCGCCTCCCAGGGGCCCTTTCCCCTCCCTGCCTATAAGAGCCTGATCGCAGCTGGTCCCAGCAGGTTCTGGCATTTTCTCTGGGTCCGTCTTGGTAAGTACCAGCCTTGGAGGAGGGGTGGACAAGGTCCTAACTGAGTATCCTGGGAGGTGGGAGTCCAGGACCCCAGTCCTGGGGATGTCACTGGGTCATCCTCATCCTAACCAAGCCCAGGCCCCAGACATCAAGACCAGTACCTGTGACTTCCATTTAAACACCAAATTATTCCTATAGTCCTCTTGCTTCAGTATCTACCCTTACAGTCACCTCTTTGGACGAGGTGCTGTCTTGAGGAGGCTCTTTTAAGCTGAGCACCTTGGCACTTGACAGGAAGAGACCTAGAAAGGGGTGCTGGGACTTCAGATATTCCAGGCCGTGTCTTCCCAGGCTCTAAGGGTGGGAAGGCTCTAAGTGACAGGGTGGCGCATCCCATCAGCAGCCACAGAAATTTTTCTATGACGAGCAGATAAAACAATACAGAGCAGGGCTCAGTGGCAGTGGGTCCCAGAATGGGTAAGTTCTGAAACGGTGGCAAGATGGAAATAAGGGAGATGGCATTTGGTCACAGATAGAAAGGGAAGGAGAGCTTCAGGCCAAAGTCACTTTGTCCCTAGCCCAGTCACATCTGGATCCCTCTCCTGCCCAAACTAGACTTTAGCACCAGGGAGGAGAGCAGCAAATCCGGGCAGAAGGTTCTCATGCTTTTCTCTTGTGTAGGAAGCAGGCAAAATGACCCTGCAGTGCACCAAGTCAGCAGGACACTGGAAGGTAGGAAGAGGCATGGCGGGGGGCATGGTATTGGAAAAGTGGGGGAGTAGGGCTTAAAGCCAGACCTGGAGGACCATCCCCCATTCCCACTGCCACTGAATGCTCACTTCACCCCCTGGGGGGTGTTATGAGGGCCCATTTCACAGGAGATGTAATCGAGGCTCAGAAGGGGGAGGGGACTTGCCCAAGGTCATACACAGGGGGCTGGATTTGAACTTGAGTCTTCTGGTCCCCAAATTAACCAACAGACTCTCTGGCAGAGGTGGCAGACTAGTGATTGCACATAGTACTTGGGCATGATTTCTTT